TCAGCAGTTAAATAAACTACTTTTGACGACCATGACTTTCCGGTTTTCTCTTCGGGTCATGATAGCCACGGATAATATTTGTTGAACTATTTTGTAGAAAAAGGTACCCAACTGTATTTTAGAAAAAGATGCGTTATACATTGTTAAAGCAATTATTATCCGTTGCTTAACCACATTTTGAATGATAAATGGGAAGTGTTTACATCTGGTTTCTTATCATTAAGATTGTTCAAGGACTGTTTAGCGGAATCACATTGTATTAGGTTTTATATGACCCAATAAGGTTAATGGCCGAGAAAAAATCTGTAGCTAGTAAAACGAAAAAGCTCAAGCAACTTAATGTTGTGAGAAGATCAAAAGTCCAAAAACCCAGTATCCTGCATAAATCAGACGATCGTGAATCTAGTACCTCTGTCTCTACCGCTGAGGTGTTGAATGGAAATGCAGAAAGAACACCTTGTAGGATGACGCTTAAGAATGGAGGACGTCGAGACAATTATGCATTGTCTCGACGTTATAATGTCGATATAATAATGTACACCTAAAAGGTATGCAATGTTAAGCAAGAAAAAAAGTAGAAGTTCTTAAAACAAAAGTAATGAAATGAAGGATAAAATGAAAGGTAGTTTGGGTTCATTTTATGTTAAACAGTATGAAAAGTTTCAAATTATTGCAACAGAAGGACCAGACTATATATGTTCAGTGTGTAACCGTTTTATGTTTCTTAATCAAATGGATCGATGTGATCGATCTGCTTCTTGACCGAATTTTTATCAGATGACAAATGAGGAGAATTAGAAAAGTGTTTTTTTGTAAAATGAGTTCCAGACAGTAATGAATGGATTTGACGCGAATGTACTCATCAACTTAGACGGAAAGACGTTCTATCTGGAGTTCTAGCAAATAGTTTAGAAGTTTGCACTATTCCCGATGAATTAAAAAGACTTAACTATCTTGGGAAACTGTTAGTTGCTCTGATAATTCCTTTCATGTACATCGTTGATCTATTACCTTACAAGCAACGTGGTACTCATGGTCCACTTCATTGTGCTTATGTTCATGAAACAGTAACAGCTCTTCCTCGTCCAGTTGATAAATCAATGATAATTCCGTTTGAATTAAAAAGAAGAATTCAGTACAAGGCTGTATGGAAAAAAACATTTATTAATCCAACGCATACTACAGAAGCTTTAGAATGTTTTAAGAATATAAATGACAATTATAAAGAGATAGAAATTAATGAAATTGATCATAATTATCTTGCAAATCATCCAGCTATAATTAATAAGCAAGCTAGTGCTAATAACGGTGAAAGTGAAACAATAGATGGTAGAACTGACAGTGAAGGTAACGATGTTGTTCGAGAAGCAATGCATGTAGATAATAACAATGATTATAATGTTGTTGACACACAAACTGTAGCCGACGATGTTGGTGAAAGAAACGATGGTGATGATAGTGTTTAAGAAAATGCTGTTAATGGTGAGGCAGGTGCTTTAGAAATTGATAGTGAAAGTGATTCAGATAGTGAAATACGAGTAGAAGATACAGAAGATCCGCGAAGTAAATTTAATTTAAGTACACATTCATGTTTACAACCTACAGATTTAGAAAATTATGTTTTAAATCAAAAGATAGTTAGTCTAGCGCCCACAGAACAGAATAAACCGTTGTCTTTGTTGAAAGATCTTACTGTTGAGGCTTTAGCATTCTCTCATATCTTTCCAAATGATAAAGGTACATTTAACAATCCGCGTGAGAAAAGTCTATCTTATTCTTTATTTAATACGCGTCTTTTCAGTGCTGATCTCGCAGAGGATGCTACATATGTTTTTTTTTCTTCAATATCT